GCAGTGAAATAAAACATACCCTAATGTGTTTCTTTTTATACTACATAGATTCTTTTACATAAATGGCTCAAAGTGTCCATGGTAGATGGCCATCTCTGATGAAAACATATGTGAATGCAGACTATTATCAGCAAACTTCAAAAGAGAATGAGAGGAAGACATGCTCTTGACTCTCTACTGGTGAGGACATCCAACCTAATGTGACAGCTGCTACCATTTTCTCTGGAATACAACTGGGAACACATTCAGAGGTCACAGTAACTGCAAGATGGACTGACATAGTGGACAAAAAATTATGCCAACAGCCAAAGCCAAAGGTGATATTGCTTCTCAGAGAAAAGCCCTCCAGCATTAGAGACGGCTGCTCTATTTCTAGGATTGCTCATGTACTGCTTTTCACCCAGAAACAAGATCCCATAGTAGTCTAACTTCTATGGCATGCTACCGTTACAAAAACAACATATTACTGCTACAAAACCTCTTTTAGAAATCTAATTTCCCTTTATTTTTTCTTTTCTTTGCTACATTATGCTGTGCTCAAACTCATTCTTCCTGGAACTTTCATTAAATATTTACAGCTTCATCTAAATAAAGACTGACCCTGCTTTACTGCAAGCTTCACACACTGCAGGAATCTAACCAATTTCAATGCATCAAACACTGTGACATCAATGGAATGACAGTATAATTTCAGTTAAGAAACATTGAAACTATTTTTAATTAAAGTATTACATAGTGCCCTAATCCAAGTAAGAACAATAATTATAGAATGAGTAGCTGCAGCCAGACAAAACCATCAAAACCAATGGACTATGAGAGAAATAGTACAAAATAATCCACCTTGCGTTATTTTACAGCAGATAAAACACCACATGGAAGTAACCATTCACTGAAAGACGCTACTAGAAGATAAAGAATGCTTCCTGTCATCTTAGTCTTTATGGGAGTCCACAAAATAATCAGGTATCTAAATGTATGGGCAGCAAAATATCCAAGTTCAAAAGTAAAAGAGCACAAATTAAGCTGTTGCGGAAAGAAAAGCAATCATTAACCTTCACACATCCAAGACAGCTGAGCCGGGTGCAGCTTACTGAGCAGATGGAAGGTGAGAAACCTTATATGCAGCCTGATGGGATGCTCATGTTCCAATACAAAACGCACACAGGGAAGGGCTGCATGCACTGAGCTGGCTCAGCCTGCAAGATATGGTACTGCACTGGCTGGCTCTGAAGCACTGTACAAGGTCTGGCCTTGTGTACTCGGTCAAATGATACAAACATGCTGTGCATGGGTGGTGATAAGGTGAGGTTTATGAATGTCTAAGGTATGGTCAGTAGTAAAACATGCCTCCCCATGGGCACTGTTTCATGACAGTTGTACTATGATAGCTAGCATTCTCTCTGGCACAGTAAAGTAGCAAAGTTTGGAGAACCTACTAGGGAGAGCTGAGATGCATATAGTTATCATGAAGTAGCTCCATGCTGATAGTCTCAAAGAAGCAAATTTGTGTTTCACACCATGTCACAGCACAGAATCTGTCAGCAAATGCCTTTAACTGAGCCCGTTTTTTCACAACATTTACCCAAATCTAGTTAGCTCAAATCTACATTCCAGTTCTGCATGTCTATATAAGCTGACCATCACAATAGAACACTGGGCATAAATGTCCCTAAACAAAATACTTATCCCGAAAAAGCCAAGCATACTCCATTCCAAGGACAATCTTCATGGGTTCCTGCAACACTGGTGGAAAATGAGTCATGTCTGAGCACATCATAACAGAAAGCCCTGTGAACTAATAGCTCATTTATCCATAGTTAGGTATCTGTTCAGGCTGTGATTTCATTTTCCCATCATATCTGTGAAGTGGGTTGTGCAAAGCAATGTAGAGACAGGCAAGTTGCTCTCTGTGCAACAACAGGGCTCTAATTAATTAATTAGAGCAGCCCATCCAAAACCTATTGCTTAAGTCCACAGTTACGGTAAAATCTTCCAGAAGAAAGTATAATGTGCCTCTGCCTACCCAGAACTGATCTTCAAGAGCACAAAGAAAACCCCAAAAATGAAAGCATTCAAAGAAAACCATCAGCAGTTTCTAGTATCATTATTCATCTAACACCTGCTCGTTCTTACTGTTGCTGTCATGGCTCAGGGGGAAGCTGCAACACTCCTAAAACCTAGTATTACCCCTAGTGAAAAGGCTATGAGAAACAGCAACACGGTATTAAAGATCAAGCAGCAAAAAACAAACCATAAAAACCTAGGCTGCACAGGCAGAAATGGTTCTATAATTTAGTGCTACTACACACTTCACTCCACACTTTCTTCTAATAAGCTCAATGGCATCAGGGAGAAGATGCTGTTGCTGTAGCTGTCATGCTGGAGATGGTGGACAGTGGTCCTGCAGGACAGCAACACCACTAGTCTACAGATCATACGGCAGAAGGGACCATTGTGACTATGCAGATTTTCTTCCTGTGCCACAAAAAAGCTGTCTGACTTCTCTGAATGAATTCTTGTTTGAGCTATTGTCTGCCTGTTGGGCAGGCACATTATCCTGAATGAGAAACATTCAGTGACAGAAGATCCAAAAGAGTCTTCAGGTAAACTGCTTTAGTGATGAATCTGTCTCACCATTAACATTTTACACAGTTTTTTCAGGTTTTATATTTGTCCATATTCAATACCAAACAATTTGCTACTCCTGCACATTGCCTGATGGAGCCATTTTGCTCCCCATATAACTATTTATTACACTTGGTGAGCAAGTTACAGGTTTGTTTTCATCTTGCAAAGTAAAGTAGACTGAGGTCTGTGGTTCAAGAATAACAACTACTTAACACTGTCCAAACTCTCAGCAATTTATCAGTTGTCCTTCCTGAAAAGTGGATGTCAGAAACCGGGATTTCTGGCTAAACTACATTCACCATTCTGTAAGAAATCACAGGTGGTTGCCAATCAGAACATCCCTCAGATATACTTGGTGATATTAGGACCAATATATTACATCTGACAACTGCCAGAAACGCCAACAACCCTCAGAAGTATGAACCCAGCCTAGTTCTGCACCAGAAACTGCTGCTTCAAAAGGGAATGTACGAAGATATCTTGTTTTCTTCAAGGCTTTCAACAGGGCATCTCTCCTGTAGTGAACCAAAATCTGCGAAAATCTACACCTTCACAGCTTTTTTTTTTTTTTCTCCTAATAAACATCCATATCTTTCTCTGGAGGACACTTCAGCAATGAGTAATCAGACTGCCTGCAGGATTTCTGCCAGCCTGTGCAAGCCTGTTATTTCTGCAGCAGTGTTAGCAGCAACAGACGAGCTGTGATCTCCGAGATTGGGGCATCAGCTCCTTTGGAACTAACTGCTCTCCTCTAATGCCTGTGCTCAGTCTACCACTGTACAGCAAATTTGCAGCAGAATGGGGAAAAGGGAAAGATTTTACAAGGGTGATGGCATGAGAGGGATTCACCATAAGTGTCCTCTCTGCCATAGAGAGCAAAATGGAAGGATACATTAAAATGAAGCAGAATAACCTTGGTTATACAGATAGAAAGGCATTCATATATCAAGTAGTCAAAATAAGTTCAGCCATCTCTCAGAGATAAAACAGCACAGGTGGTTTCATCCTTTTTACCTGCTGTGATGACAGGTCTACCAACATTTTGCTCTCCAGCAAATGACTGTGCTATCACACATGCGTGCTTGAGTGCATCCATTCACACACTGAGCATATCTGTCTGCACCTAGTGACAAACTAATTACCACCCAGTACTATCCACTGGTTACAGAGATTCCCCAGGACCCGGACCAGACATCATCGAATTTCCACTATCACAAACCAATTGCTCCAGGCAAACACCTGCCAGTGGCCTTCCTGGCACACAACACACCCCTTTCAATACCAGAGAGGATGGTGAGCAACAAGTGGTGGACTACAAATAAGGTCTTGGGATTCCCACTGCATTCCCAGTATAGCCACACCAAGCCAGAAAATGAACGCAAGACAAAAGCACACAATGCAGTATGTTGTGAGCTTTGAAGAAGACCAACTCCATTTTCCTCTGTAAGGACACGTGCTCATGAGCTTTCGGTGCTTGTTGCTGACAGAGAGTGAAAGTGCTAGCATGGGGCACACTGAAATAAATTCTTCCAAGGGCATTTCACTACATTACAGTAAAAAAGTTACACCGTTAAGGTTTAGAAGAAAACCAGGAATTTAGAAGTCTCCAGCCAGTATTGTCATAGCTGCATGTAGGACTGTGGGAAATAACTTTATACTGAACAGCAAACTATACTTTGCTTAATAAAAACTTTGTTCAGCTCCAAGTACTTTGATTTGCTGAAGTCTACTACATTTATTTATGAATGCAGCATTACACTATTTTCTGTGTTTTGAACTACCATATCTTACAAGCTAGGGCTTTCCTACTTAGCCACCTCCATTTCTTCTAGAGGGTAGACCTGGGAGAAGTGCTGAGCAGACTTCAGCAGCAGCTTTGCAACCTCCACATCACAACGGATATTGTCTGCATCCAGCTGAAGGTGGGGGATACAATTTAATTTCAGCTTAGAGAAGTGTGATTTTTCTAAGCAGAAGGCTTGCATTTCCTATTTTAGCCATACGAACAAAGATAAGAGGTTGCTCTTGTGCCCATCCCTTACACACACCCCACCAGCCCTTTCCAACAAGAAGAGAGCTGCTTCCCTCCCATTCTGCACAGTACTCTGATTCCCCAAGTTTCCAGCATAAATTCAGCTCTTGCTTCCAATATGAGGTGTGTGGCTCACAGCTTAAGATCCGCTTGCTGCACACGTTTATTTACCTCCCGTCTGAGATCAGTCTTACTGGATGGTAACACAGTAGGAAATGCAGAAACAAAAGCACATGTTAGATACAGCACGTTCTCATTTACAGAAGAAAAGATAAAAATGGGGAAGTGCAAAGTGAAAAAAACTCCACATTTATTCAAGACTCTTGACTCTGTGTCTTACCTTCCTATGGGTCCCAGATCTCCCGAGTCCTGGCTGCCTGCATCACTGGGTGTGCTCACTGATTTCGAAGAGGGAGACATAGGGGTTGGGACTAAATAATGAAAATAACAGGTATCCCATGTTAACACATGCAGCGACTGCACTGATGAAGAGCAGTGTCAGACAAATCAAAACCAATGGACCAAAATGATAGTGGATGAATGAGTAGGAGAGTTTGAAATGGTGAAAGCAAATAAGGAAGGAAAGAAAAAGAAAAGGAAGAGAGTCAAGTGAATTTTAAGTCTTTTGGAAGTGTTAAAACTGACATGAATTTAGACAGGACTGAAAGCCCAATGGGAATCTACAGCTAATCAATGGAGGAGATATCTGTGGAAATAAAACAGCTCTTGTTTTCTCAGGTAGAGTTTAAAGTTGTCTTGCCAAAGAATTTAACGGTATGAAGAAATATCAGGGGCCAGTCTTGTCAAAAAACTAAGTGAACTCTTCTGGTAAAGTCAAGTAGGCAATAGACAAGCATTCTTTTCAAATTTTGAATTTAAATCAAAAGGCAGTGTCGTTAGATATGGTCTAAGGCTGCAGTGTGGAAATGACATCAAAAACAAAAGCTAAATAAGGAAATCCAGCTAAGTTAAAATCATTTCCCAAAGATGGTGAAAATACACGATTTTGCTTAACGATTGTGTTTTCCTAAATAACTTAGGTTATATAAAGTTTCCATCTTGGGTGGGACATGATTTCAACGCTCAAGGAAAAGTTTCCCTTGGTTTAGATACTATTTGCCCAAGTTCTAGAAATTATTTTCTCTTTGGCTTGCCAGGGCTTCTGAAGCATGTTTCATGCAAAGGCAGTTTTGTTTCCTGAAACAGGAAAGGAAGTTCATAGCTCAAGGTCAGCCCAAGTTAAAGCTCTTCAGCAAGGAAATAATAAATAAAAAGTAAAGATATCCTGATTTCTTTTAAAATGGTTTCTCAAAAAGATTTAAAATGCAGAGATGGCTCCAGTCAAGATTTTATGCAAGTATTCTTCAAAGCAGCTACATTGAATAAAACACGATAAGGGGTTTTAATGCAAGAGTGAAGTTTCCCATTTGGTTTAAATCATGTGCATTTCCTTATATAGGTTTAACGGAGTAAAACTTTAAACTATTTTGTTATGCTCTATAATGTATAATGACAGACCTGTCAAGAGACTTGGATTTTCCATGTGGTCAAACATTTCATGCAGATTCTCACTAGAGACTGTCACAGAAATGACTGCAGCACAAAAAGTGAATTCATCTTCCTGACAGCCCTTTGGCAGGTTACAGGTATGGTGTGGCTGTTTATGTATTCCATATTCACAGTGGAATCTGGGTATCATATGTGAAGGCAGAATTAAAGCCTCCTTTGCATATTAATTGTGAGTATATATACATAACAAAATACCATTGCTTAGCTAAAAACAAGTCATCTTATATGTGAATTTTCATGGTTTTTTGGTAGTATCAAATGCCAAATAATTAACTAAGATAAGAACTGATAATTTACAACATGAATATATATGTTTAGTTAATCATACTATAAGGAAATATATCCTCATTTTAGAGAAATACGATTACTTTAAATGCTAGAACATGAAAATTTTATCTGATTTTGTAATATCATTATTTAATTGACAAAAAGGAAGGGAGGAAGGGAGAGAGGAAGGAAAGAAATTTCTCCCTTTAGGGTCACCCCATAAGTGAGACAGAACTTAATTAAAGTAATCAATATTCAGATACTACAAACTTTGCCACATGTATTTTTAAACTGAGGACTTCAGATTCTAGAACTGAAAATTGAAAACCAAAAAAGAGGTCGAGCACATGAAACCAGATCTAAAATCTGCAATAATGACCTGATGATAAGCTTTTTGATATCTGTGATCTGTCTTTTTATTTCCCATCTTCAATTTTGCTTGATTTTAAAAGAAAATCAATGAGTTCCCACATGGCTATGCTCCTCCTTTCTTAGCAAATGCTTCATCTGAATTTATGAAACAAAAGTTGGGGCTAATGAAGAACAGCATTTATAATATTATTTTGTGGGTCATCAGATAGATTTGAGAGAAGATTAAAGTCCATCAGAAAAGAAATCACTGCTGCTATCAAAACCAAACCTGTATTATGTTCACAGAAATTTCTTGGAAGAAATGAAACAGATGTTTTGGGCAATGGCAAGTACTCATAATGCCGTGAGCTGGTATATGTGAATGGCATGGCAGGCATTCAAACAGAAGAGTTCACTTCACTAGTACAGCCAAAAATCAAAAAAGCCAAGCATGCTTTAGTAGAAAGAACACATTCATCGTGGCAGAGCTGAATGCTTTGCAGTGTGCTTCTCTTAAATACCTAGAGGTGGTTCTGGGGATATACCAATACTTTGTAACAAAGCTTCTGTCTCTCTTCTTTTGCGGTCGAGGTCAGAATCTTCCTGAGCTGGCTCCTTCTTCTGCTGTAGATCGGCCTGAGTTAAAACAAAACAAAATACAGAAGTTTCAATCAGCTCCAGCAACGAAGCGTTTGGAAAATAATTATAGGCACCACTGCTTAGGTACACTTTGAAATTCACTTAGATACATTTAGATAATTCATAACTTAGATAATTTATACTGTATATATCAGTAACAATATTTTTACCAGAATGTATGGGAAAACTGATCTTTGCAAGGATTTTTACAGAACACTGGTGGACATCTTCTGCCTCTCACTCATCAGATGCAACATATTCACCTAATATATATAGACTTAGGTGTCTAAAATAGGATTTTGGCAGCTCTGGGCACTAATAGCCAAAACTAATGGTCCACAAGACCCCTCTCTCTTTGCTTAGATATCTGTGTCTACTTGGAGCTTCAATACATCAGCATCCTCGCACTCTGGTCTACTAGGACCTCGAAACAGGAGGAGCAATGTCTGCATTACCCAGAATCCCTTACATTCATTACATCCCTTTATTCCCCAATTTAGTAAGGTGGAAGGAAAACACTGACATCCCAACCTAGTGGTTAGACCACTCCCTTGAACAAAACAGGCTTGCAGCCTTTCTCCCAAGCAGATGAGGGAACTGAATCCACATCCCACTTTGTTGTCCAGTGCAGAACCAGTTAGGCAAGTAAAACAAAATGCAAGTGGTTCTGTCTATAAATTTGTAATGTCTTAAATACAGCAATCCCAGCATAGTTCTTATAGAGAATGTCTGGCGGCATCTGCCTCTATACTTTGGATCCTAAAGTTGCTTCTAAATCAAAAACCTTGAAATTCAGAAGCATCCCTATGTTGTCTAGTTTGGACATGGCCAGGATGCAGAAGAATATCGCTTTCGCAGACAAAGTTCAGGCATATTCCTGCACTCAGCTCTTTCCATGAGCTAGCCTGAATCATGCAGGGTTGCAGACAGCTCTTCTGCACCAGTGTACATGGCTGAGCATGTAAGTGAAGGTTAGACTTCACTCCTGGAGGCCAGGCATTTCAAAGCCAGTGCACCACATCCATGGTGCCATAGTCAGGCATGCAATTACATTACAGTGTAATCTGTAGAGCTGGGTGTCCCAAGTGGGATCTGGCTATCGGGACCAATGGAAAGTTCCAACCACGGCAAGATCTCCACAAGGCATAAAATCAGAGTTAGGGAACAAAGGAAAGGGCTTAATAGCTTCCTCGAGCCATTAGCTTGGCTCCTTTCCCTCTAATTCATTCACAGGCTGGTAATGAACACTGCAAATGTTAACGATTAACGTTCAGCTTACAGAGGACTCCCCCAGTGACTCCAGGAGTCTCACTGGGGGGTGTGATGGTAATTGCACAAAAATGGCACAAATAAAAAATATTAAAAAGACAGCCGAAACTGGAACGTTGATTTCTTGGATCACATCACATTTCCACAGTAATTCCATGAAATTCACGTACAATATTAAAGTGTCAGTTTAAAAGGAAACCAGTTATTAGTAAAGGATAACAGGTGCTTTAAACTATGGTAAGTGTTGACATTTGAAGGAAGAGAAACATAATCACTTAATGCTTCTCTGACTTTGCATGAAAATGAATATCCACTCCCTGTCAATTCTCACCTCTATTCCACTAAGTGACTGAATAAAAAGAAGTACAAATCCCTTAATGAAAAACCTAATGCATGTTGTCAAGGACAACTAAACTAATATGTCAGTCAAACTCTAACAGAACTGAAAGATGCACCCATGCTAGAAGATGAAAATGCAATTGCAATTATGTTTTACTTTGCTGGAGAATAATAATTGTAAATCTGTTACCTTAGCTGGTAATCAAACTAGTCTTCAGAGTACAAAAATACATATTTAGATTGTAATGGCTTGAAAAAAAATGTAAGCCCTCTTTCTGTCTTTCCCCACTTTCCACTCCCTTTCCATTGAAGGAGAGCCCAGGAAAAAGCATTGTGGCAAATCAATTTCTCTTTCTACATACACATCATGTTGTCTAAACTGTTGTCATCTGACAGTGCATTGGTTTTAAAAGCAATTTCCTCACCCCAACTTTCTTGACTAAAAATAAGCATTTTGGTTTTAAGGTTAGACTGCTGTGGGTTTGAGGACCTCATTCACATGACAGATACCTTGGGGTATAAAATACTGAGACGTCAATACCTCAGCAAGCCCTTTGTGCAAGTCTAAGCTACCTAAAAGGTGCTTCTGCATATTTACCTCTTTCTTTTTCCTTTCTTCTTCCTTCCGTTTCTTTTCTTCTCTTATCTGAGCCAAACGCTGCTTTTTGCGCTCAAGTTCTGCTTTTAAATCACTTTTGTCTGACATTTTGACTCTGCTGGAAACAAAATTAGAAACCAAAGTGAAAACAGAATTAAACTTTTACCCCTTTTACTAATAAAAGGGATACTTAATTATATAAAAAATAATGCTTCTAAAATTGCTACAAATATATTTCTATATAAATGCTGGCCTGTGGACTACATTGTAGAAAGCAGGATATTTGTTTTGCAATTTTTATTTCAAGAAATTAGACCAGAATATCACCAAACATTGAATATATTTTTCAATTATCTTTATTAGAATACTACCTTTGTGAAGCAAACTCATCTTTGTCTGCTGCTCAAAATAATACATTAATGCTTTTACTCACTGAAGCTAAAGACTCTTTTCATCAACTTCAGCAGCTCTGTCATACTGTAGGACCCAGACCCACAAAGAGATTTCAATTTTATATACAAGAACGAAATCTACCCCAAACAGCCCTATACTTCCGAGACATGTAACCATTTTTCTTGCAAAAACCGGAAACATAATATACTTTGCTTCTGCAGGTGCCTTGTCACATCACAGAGAAAAAGAGCCCGATCTCTAAAGAATATACGATATCAGTCTTTTTCTACAGTTTTAAAACCCCACCAGTGTTGCACAAATCCATAACTTAAGTCACAGATAATTTATTTACTTTCTAACATCATCACCATTATGGGCTGTCATCTAACTGTATCAATACTGATTTTCTTATTAGCACTTTATTCGAAGACAGTCCTGGCTAATATAGACATTCAGGAGTTAATTCTGCCTTCCCTGTTAATTCACACATCACTGACCACATCCACCACTGCAACCTAGAATCAATAAGATCAATGGCAATGACATATATATGCAATGGAAGTCTATTGTTTGCTTGATGCATGGTAAATTTAAATGGCAACTCCCAGTTAATACTAATGAGAACTCCACTCACATTACTGACTGGGTGGGTACATGACTGAAGAGTAAATTTATATGCTAAAAATTATATGGCACTTTCACCCATCATGAATTCCTCCACAATCATCAGCTTTCTTCTCAAAATCATAAAGGTATATTTAGATCATGATACAGAGGATATTGCCAACAAAACATCACCTGCACATTAAATGCAATCTTGTCCCCAAACGCTTTGTTGTCTTTGCAAGCATCTTCCTTCAATCAAAGAAAAGAATAATATGTGGACTCAGAAAAGGAAACTATTTAATGAAAATGGCAGGCATAAGAGCAGCATGAGGGATGCCAGAGGGGCCAGCATAGCCATATCTGTGTGTGGAGCACACCATGGATGCTAACACCTCCCAGTCAAACTCCTGTCTGAAGCCTACCAGCAGGAGTGACACCAGTACAGCTCACACCGACACAGATTCTGCGCTGACTTCAGCAAAGCTGACCATCCTGGCAAGGGACCCCACAGTCCTTTCACAGCCTGGGGACTCCCAGTTCAATCTGCAACATCTCACAGTAAATGGTATAGCTAGGAAGAACATTAAACTGTAACAAACTGGACCACTGGGTGCACTGGCAATATGCAGAGGATCGTCACTTCTTTATTTCTCCATCACTCCGGTCCTATTCACGATGATGTGGTTTTCAATTTCAGAATGAGAAATCAAAACTGTCAAAAAACCTGCATTTGATATCAATAAAACTAAGCACTAGTACCTCAAACAACATTAATCTACATGATTAGTTGACGTCAGTGTGCTATTTTTCACATGAGAAAAAAATGCTCAGTATTTATGGGTCTCTCTCAGATATGGCTGAAATCTCATTTGAAGTCTTTTTCCTAATCTGTTGTACACATTTGAATTCTGACTATGAAGTTCCCCCTCAGAGCCCTTTGGACTAGATAGAGGTTTTGCATCCTTTTAGTTCTGCAGTTTGGTAACACAGAGTGAGCTTCTGTTTCTATGCAGAAAATATGCAAATGCTCATGACAGAAACCCTGAGGGTTTGGCATCCCTTTCAAGCTGTTTGTCAGATATCAATGAACAGCTTTCTAAAAGTTTGTTCCCTTAATATCAGGGAAACTAACTAGCTTCTTTTCTGATTTCAGCATCAATGGTTTAGTGCCTGGCCTCTTCTTTACAATGCTCCAGTCAGAGTGATTAAATCCTATTATAACTATGCCCTGTTTTTAACAAAACATATCTTACATACAACAAAGATGATGTATTAAATTTCCTTCAAAGAATGTTGCCAGAGCTGAGTTATAGAACGATATTAATCTCAGGTTACTTTCATCCTGCATACATTATTTAGTCACGTCTTAGCCAGGCAAACAGCTTACTTCAAACTGGCTATTTACAATTTTAGTGCAAATTGAACACCAAGGGTATGCAACCACCTTTCTTAGATGTCAGCAGTGAGCAACGAGGCAAGCGTACTCATCACTCCACCTGGCATTAACCATGGAGTTAACACTCTGTATTCATTACTGGGAACAAATTCCTAATAATTGCCATTCTGAGTGCCAAAAGGCATGCCACACCAAGAGAGATAAAGGCAATCAGTAAAAAAGATTTACTTTCAACATTATCTGTGGTGCAGCATGACAACCCAAGGCTTATGAGCAACCTAATCTTCTGCACTCTGTGAGAAGGCATTGGTCCAAGGGAAACAGTAAAGAGCACATTTTGCAGTGAAGCAATTAAATCACCTATCTAGGAGAAGGAACACATAGGAACACACTGAACTTTAAATGCAGAAATAATTCTCATAGGAGGGCAGCAGCTTAGGTCTCCCCTCTTCAAGGGAGGTGCATAATCTTAGATCAATTTTTTTATTTTGTTTGGCCCAGTTTACTGTCAAGTGACACAGTTTTAAAAGGAGAGAGTACTCTCACTCCAGAGGAGCTTACCACCCATGTGATAACATAAGTTTCTGAGATGTAGCAGGATACGTGGATGTGAACCACTTTCCACAGAGAGCACTTGCCTGCACTCCTAATACTCTGAGTAAATTCTCCTTTCTGTGAGGTACTGGAGAAAGGAGGTTGACATGACTTCTGATGGAATAGGCTGTTGTATTTCAAGATGTCAGTTTTCCCTGTATGAATCAAATATGCCTCAGAGTCCTCTCCTAGGCTTGGAAAAACAGCCAACCCCACTTACATATCAAAGGGTCCCCAGGATGACAGCCACATAGTCATGTGCAAATTCAGCACCAAGGCTTCTGAGGACTATGTTCTGGGACTTCACCATCTACTGGGCTCATCTCGCCAAACCTGGATGCTCACGGTGTAGATGCAGAGCTATTGGTACCACCAATGCAGGTAAAATCAAAAGAGCCTGGGTATCCTAGGATGTGATTCCACTTTTCCTAAAGCAGATGTCTAAAGGCAGTTAAGATTAAGCATGCCTCAAAGCCACCAGTTCCTTTCTAATGATTATAAAAGGCCTTGGGTGATTAGTTAGGTTCTTGAAGTCTCCATTGTAAATGTCCTAGACTGGGCAAGAAGAATCCTGTCCTTAATATGCTCCCAGAAGTTCCTTTTAGCTTGTCAGTGTATGAAACAAGATCTTTGAAAGACCATTTACATTCATTCTTAAAATAGTAATGGTGTTTGCATAAACTTCTCTGCTGTACAGAACGTACGCAGAACCACTGCACTAACTTAACACACAGAAAGTAACAGCTTACAATCATTTCATTAGTGGCAGCAGTAAGCAGATAAGCATGAAAGATGCAAACAACAGTGTTTCACCCTCAACTGGACTAAAAGCCCTGCAAGTACTTTTACAGGTACAAGCCAATAGACTCATTGCAGTTTTATAATAAGCTACAAGGTCTTTAGCAACAATCAGTATCAAAACATTTGAGCAGGTACTTTTTTGAACAATTTATATGACTGCCTAACAGCAGAAACAGTCACAGCCATCTATAAAGATTTGCTACAATTGCAGAACTAATAAACTGATACTTGCCAGAGTAATAAAACCACAGTGTTACAGAAGTACAAAGAGTGGCAACACACGTACGTAGCTCGGACTAATATAAGAAAAAATAAGTACGAGGTGCCCAATGTATAATGAATAAAATAAAAATAAAGACAAAAAAATTATGATAGTGTACACTTTTTATAAGCAGAAAAAGAGAATAAGATATAACATCTCCCTCCTCTTAAAGTCTGTTTTTTGTATCACCTAGAATAGCATCTTGTCTGTATGCTACCACTGAGCGCATCTAAAAAGAAACCTGTTTCCAAATCTGGTAAGAGATAAAAAAGCCTATCAATTTTATTGTTTTTTGCTGTCTAGGCTATTTTTACATGCTGTTCACTCAGAAGGCTGAACTGGAGTAGAACTATTTTCACTGCTTCATAAGCCTCAAAGTCTTTCCCATTTTGTGACTTCCTATGTTGTCTTTTTCATTATTATCTCCATTGCAATTACCAAAGGGGTTCATTAAATACTGTTACATATGGCATTAGTCATACTATATAACTAATTATAAATAATTGACTCATTAATGTACTTCTCTAAAATAAATAGGCAGCATCTAGTACTTGTAGATGCTGTATATGTATTAATCATATGTCTTCATAAAGAGTCAGTTACTCTTGAGTCCAAAACCACAAAATGTCTGTAGTTTGAAAGGCACAGGAAGTTGCACAATAAAATACATTACTCAGTGATTTTTGGTTTTAAAGAATGGGTTTATAGAGTGGGAGTACTACTACTACTGAAACTATTACATATGGAGTTTTCTACTGGAAGAAACTATGCATTTCTATTATGTACCATATTTGTCTTTATTTTGTACAAACTAACACATTTCCTACAGTTAGGAATATTTTAAATTTCTGCTACAGAAAAAATTCCCATGGGATCTACCTATGACTTTTACAAGTGTAAAGTGTGCATCCTAAGTATGAAATTGTACAAAGCAGATAAACTTCTTTTGTCTGCAAGAAACCAGAGGGAGCTGTTAGCCTAGCATAAATGCATTCTAATCCATGGTATTCCTTAGAAAATAATGTTTGAAACACACTTCAAATGGACAAGAAGGGC